GTTTTATTTTCACATTTAAAGTATAGTTTCATTTTTTTTTTATAATTTCAAATATAAGTATTTAACATGTTGTGTTTAAAATATCAAAACAATATTTATGCATTTGTAACCGCAGATTAAATGCATTCATGTCCCTCTACATTAACCAGTGTGTAAATACATCTAAATGGCACTTCAGATGCAGCTTCTGTGTTTCCTTTGCATTGCAAAGGTGAATTTTGTTGGTACCGATTTAATTTGTTTGGTAACAGCCCAAATGTCTTATTATTCAAATTGACTGATTAAATTTAAGAATTTGACTTAAAAGATGATGTACACTTTTAGAAAAAATGGCTTTATAAAGGTAAAAATGCTCATAAAAGGTAAAAATCTATTTAAACTTATTGGAAAAGATTAATTTCTATCAATGCTGTGAACTGACCACACAGAATAAGCAGAATATCAAAAATTTAAGGAGTCAGCTGTCCACGGTAGTCCTTAAGATACTACCACAATAACACACTCAGCAAAATATCGTCTAATTATAGTTATAGATAAAATCCCAGAAAATATCGAGATATCATTTTTTGTCAAAATCACACACCCTTTGTCTGCACATGCATAATATTTTTACAATTTTAAAAGAATTATGTCAATTCAGTATATCTGGTCATTAAAGGAAGAAACATACCTAAAGGAACAAAGTCACCATCGTCAACATTATCATTCTGATCTTCATCATCCCACGCACACACATATCGCCGAGACTGGTGCTGGAGCTGGAACCGGTGCTCAGCCAAGAGTGGCACTCGTTCAGAACTGGCTCATGTTTCCACCGGCAGGGAGCAGAACCCTTTACGTCACCAACATGTGACCGGAATAGCTTGTTAATCTCTTGCAGAAGGAAAGTGTTGGTCTCTTCTGCTGACCACTGCTGAATTGACATATTTAATTGTTATTGTCAATTTGCCTGAACTCCGACAGCACCTTGGCACCTTTTAAACGGCGGTCTCTCGTGGAAGCTCCACCTACTGACGTCATAGGATTCCTTGTTCGAGACCAGCAAGGTTTCGGGGCCTGTTTGGAACCGGGATCTGGGCACCAGCCCAGGATTATTTTTGATTGGAATAGCACAGCAGAGTGGTTACAGTGTGGTCTGGTCCGGAGACACTATAACAGACCGGATCATATGTGTGAACCGGCACAGACCACAAAACTTATCAGACCTATCTGAATTCTACACAGAATACTATATTTTATAGCGATATGGATGAGATGGATGATCTATATATTATAGATCATTGGTGGTATCTCTTTAACTCATCAGTGCTGTTTCTCATACCGAGTCTGTATAGAACAGGGGTAGGCAAGTTCGGTCCTAGAGAGCCGCAGTCCTGCAGAGTTCAGCTCCAACCCTAATCAAACACACCTGAACAAGCTAATCAATGTCTTCAGGATTACTAAGGCTATAGGCAGGTGAGTTTTCTTTTTCAGGGTTGGAGCTGAACTCTGCAGGACTGCGGCTCTCTAGGACCGAACTTGCCTACCCCTGGTATAGAACATAGAGTAATAGACTATTACAGTAATAGACTGTAAAAAAAACATGGACGATGCACCTACACTCTCTTCCGTTGAAAAAAAGTGAAGCCGCCAATGTCCCAATAGGGCACAGCCATATTGCGCTGATTTGGGACTAGAGTCTGCGCAGTGGTGAGCGAAATGGAACTGCGTCCTGCCCACACTCCCGCAGAGTTGATCGCAAGCAAGCTTTTTTAATTAGCCTGACAGCTCCCATTTTTGTCTAGTGATTGCCGTATAAAAGGTTTGCGTTGAAATATGGTAAATACAACTCCAATCTCCTCCTGAAGATCCCGAAAAAGTCTGTTTGCGCCTCAGTATGCTCAGAGAAGCTGTCAATCATGACGTCACACTCCCGTTATTATAGCATCACACAACTAACTAAAACCAAACTTATTTAAAATTAAAAAAATATATATTATTTGAAGTGAAATTTTATTTAGTTTGTCTCACGTCCCATTAGATTACATGGAGAGGGCGGGGTTTGACCAATACTTGGAGCAGCCACCTGGGGGCGATCGAAATGCCCTGGCTTCACTTTTCAAGACTTGTGCGGCACACTTGGTATAGACATACAGGTGCATCTCAATAAATTAGAATGTCGTGGAAAAGTTCATTTTTTTTCAGTAATTCAACTCAAATTGTGAAACTCGTGTATTAAATAAATTCAATGCACACAGACTGAAGTAGGTGAATGGCACCGGTGGTATCCACTGATCTACATCATCTATATTACGCTTTTGGCTATTTTAAAAAAGGGGCAGGGCTGCTCAATATGTCCCACCCCTTGACTAATTGTTTTAGTTGAAATTACATCACCACATAGGCACTTCAGTGGACACTCCAACACTCCAAGATTCACACCTGTAAGTAAATGCCGTTGTCACTCCCAAAAACTGATATTGTGACATATTATTTCATATTCATATCTGGATCATTTCAGTTTGTGTAACAAAGTGACTGAGGCAAATAAGGGTCATTGCATGCCATCATGTTTTTTTAGGAAGTATTAAATAACTGCTAAAAGAATTAGGACTCGTCATTCTGTTACTGTGATTAAAAACCCATAAACACACATTGTAATCCAATATCAGACATTGATCTGCACATTACAGTGAATTTAAAGCTGTCACAAAACAGTTTTTTTTTTATCCAGAGGATTCATTTCTACACATTATATAAAGTTCTAGAGCAGGGGTGTCCAATCCTGCTCCTGGAGGTCCACCATCCTGCAGAGTTTAGTGCCAACACACTTACCTGAAGTTTCTAGCGAGTCTGAAGACCTTTGCTTTGTTTGAAATCACCCCCTATTCCCTCAATCTCTATCTATAACCTACATTAGTCCACTTGGAGTAAATGAAAACAAGTGAGTGAATTCACAGACTTCACATGAGTGTGCAGGTTTACATAGTCTGTGCTTAATACTGTTTAATAATAATTTGATACTTAACTGCCAGTTCCAGTAGTAAGATAAAAAGATTAATCTTGAACTTTGTCAATGAAACTAGCACGCATAAACCTTAAAGTAATTTAGAAATCAATTAAAAAGGAATTTATGCCTGTATGATACTACACTGTGGCCACATTGGACCAGTGGTTTAGAAAATAGAGGGATGATTCAGCTGCAGATGCCATCTTCTGGTGAGACACGGAAATGAATTTGGCTCGAACATCATGGTGCATTATGGGTATTCACTAGCTGTTGGTGTACATCATTTGTCCACTCTTTATTGCGGTGCATTGTGGGACTGAATGAGCACACTGTGTAAAGTCCACTGTGGTTTTGGATGCCATTACAAATGGCTGTCTTCTCAAATAGTGCCCTATTCAAGGGTACAGTGGTGATTCCAGACACAGATCTTGATGAGCTGCTTCAGGTGTGTTTAATTATAGTTGGAGCTAAACTCTGCAGGACAGCGGCCCTCCAGGAGCAGGTTTGAGCACCCCTGTCCTAGAGACATTCTTGTTATAGGTTTTACTTTTTACAACCATAAAACAACATTCCTGTAACACTGTTTTTGACAACCTAGAAATAATTACATGATGAATCTATGATGATTCTGGAAAGTCACTTAGCTTATAAAAACTCTTCCCACAATCACTACAGGGATACGGTCTTTCTCCTGTGTGAATTCTCTGATGAACTTTGAAAGCAAATGAACTAGCGAAGCTCTTTCCGCAGTCGGAGCACAGGTACGGTTTTTCTCCGGTGTGAATCCTCTCATGGGTTTTACAGTGAGCCGAATTACGGAAACATTTCTCACAGTGTGAACACTGATACGGTTTGTCATCAGAATGCATTTTTTGGTGTAACTTTAGAGAAGCTGAGCTTATAAAATGTTTTCCACATTCACTGCACTGATAGGGATTCTCATTGCTGTGTGTGAGTAGATGGTTCATCAGATCTGATCTGAGACTGAAGCTCATCTCGCAGTGAGGGCACTGATACAGTTTATCAAAGTGTTTTTTTTGGTGTAACTTTAGAGAAGCTGAGCTTATAAACATTTATAATGGACTGACACTGATTTAACCTCAAAAGGATTGTTTACATACGACTGAACAAGAGCTGAACTACACAGAACTGACTTGTTATTAAAGAAAATAATATTTTATTTTAGAGAACATTCAGAAATATTTATTTCAGATGTAGATGTCTTCAGGAGTGTTTGTTTCAATTCAACATTGAGCCAGCACAGAGCAGGAATATTATCAAATTGAGATGTTACATGTTTCAGATATTGTCGCATTTCTACGCATTTTTCTAGCTTTGAAAATTGCTAATATAAAAGCTATTGTTTACTACAAATTTCATGGTTAAAACTTGGTCAATGTAGTAAAACAATAGGACATTTGTTATGGTTACGATAGTAAAACCATCGTTATTTTTTCATTAGACGAGCGGGCGAGGAAAAGCTTCATTCAAGCTCATTAAAACACAGAGACAGAAAAATAAGAATAGCATGCAAGTAAACATCTAAAACACATGAAAAATGTTAAACGGACTAAACACTTACCGTCTGAGTGCTCAGTCTCCTTTCTTTCTTCAGTGGTTTTACCGGAGAACTAAAGATCGTCAGAGCGCCTCCTACAGTACGAGCGATAGATGAAGAGAAGAAAAGACGCTCCCGCGGGTGTGTGGAGGGCTTTCAAACATTCATTTATTCAAACCTAATTTCTCTCATTAAAATGCCGTTCTATTTCAGTGGCGCTGCCAAGACATGGATATACTATATCTTTACGAAATTACTAACTAAAGACATAGACAATCGAATGTTAGTTAGTCAATAAATAGTCAGTAAATAGAAATGACCGTTAATTTTTGAATTACGCGAGTTCGCGCCTTCTGTGGGAGACCGGAGAAAACGCGGGAAGAATCAGAGAAGCGCAGAGGAAGATATATATCCACCTTATTTTTCATTGCAGAAGTAAGCCATTTTCTGTGAATGTGCGAGACGTCCGGTTCATTCGCCGCTGTAGGGAAATAACAAGAAAGTTCAGTAACTTTTACTTTTCCTGCTGTGATATTCCAACCATTTGTATATGCTTGCAGACAGTATTTCTCACAGTGAGTGTCATGGCGGACGCCCAAATTAAGGTGAGAAGATGTGCCATTTTCTGGGGACACGTCCTGGCCAGGATGTTTAAATTGCCTAAAATAACCAGGTTTGGCTGTTTTTTGCTGTTCTTTGCTTTTGAAAGCATGGAGCCGTCTGCTCTGCTCTCTATAGCTCTCACGATATTTAGATGTCATCCAATCAGGGGCGCCGCTATGGTTTGTGTGCCCCCTGAACAACATTTTTACTCAGGCCCCCCTCGGTAAAAATCGCATTCCGGGCCCCCTCAGTAAACCTCACAGTACACACACACACACACATATATAAACAAAAACTTTTATTTTGGATGCGATTAATCGTTTGAACAGCACTAATAAAAAAGTAAATAAAAATGTCTGAATGTGTTGAGTGAGCAGTTGAGCATTGTTTTTGTTTGCGTATTAATAATAACAGACTTACACATGTCTGATAATGTACGACTCCTAGATGTTACTGTTGATTACAATCGCCATCCATCAAAACTTTACTGGTGAGATACTGGTTTGCTTCATTCAGCCTCCAGACTAGTCCTGACTTCAGCAGTGACTTTACTAGGGGCAACAGAGAAATCACTCATTTTGGACAAGATTTAAGGATGTTGATTGGCTAAATTTTATGTCATGTCTAGAACATGTTTACAGCAGTTGACTAAACTGCTAAATAAACCCACCTCCTAATGCCGATTTCTTGATCGTCCCCAGAGCTGAACTTGAGACTGACAGAGGGGACATTTATGAAAACTGTATATTTTCCACAAATCATTTCCTATAATATCGTATCATACAAACATCAATTTATACAATTTATAATAAAAATAATTATTTTATGTGTGTGGCTCAGGGAGGGTGGTGCCACAACGCCTTCTACTGGCCCGCCACCATTGGTTTTGGGTAAATGTAATGGCTCGGTTCCACCTAGCGGTACCTTTCAGTACAGTACGATACACAATTATTCCTATTTCCATTGTCAGAAGTACCAAACCGCTATTTTGGGACCCTTCTGTTGGGATACCTAAAGGGTGGAGCTAGACTCACTACAGAACATTGATTGGTTGACTAAGAATCGCCACTTGTGCATGCTACAAGGGAAATGAAGCCTCTTCTTCACTCGTTCTGCCATGCTGCTCATGCGTGTTGGGCTTGTTTACATCAGAGTGTGCATTGATCGCAACTTTCCAGCATACCCCACGCCTATCAAGTAAGGTACTGTTGGCGGTGGAAATGCAAGCCAGATCAGGGTGTACCATCCCGAAACAACACCGCT